GAATGATAAATATGTGTGTGTGTGTGTAAATATTACACATACACACACATATTACAATAATTTAGTGAAAGGCAGAGAGAGAACCGAATTGATGGGTTTAAATTCAGTGTAAGGCACAGAATGCATATTACAATAATTATTTTTAAGTGATCATTAATAATATAATGAAAAGGCCATAGGTCAAAAAATTAAAAATTAAAGAAGGAATGGAAAGAACAGAAAAGATCATTGGCAGAGTATAAGAGCAAATCAATTCCTTCATCTTTAACACTTGACAAATCTGAGGATCACATAAAATAGATAATAGTTTTCACTGAATAAAATAAACAATCAACAATATCAAGAGTTTCTAAATCTGAGGTCCACGATCTTCATTGGTCTAGATTTAAGAAGTTTCATCTTGCTCAATCTCTCGCTAAACGTCAAGGGCAAATCACGTCCTTCATCTTTAACACTTGAGAAATCAATTATTAAAAATAAATGAATTAGTTTGAGTCGCTACAACCATTGAAACCGTTTTCACAGTTGATTTTCTCTTAGTTAATATGGGTAATTGTACTCCAAGATTCTGAAGATAGTCCCCTTCATCTAGATTGGACTAATCGCATATTAAAAGCAAAAAAGGCCAATCACGTCTTTCACCTAGAATATTTGACAAATCTAATACATGGTATAGTGAAGTTTTAATTGGTTTGAAGTATACAACGACATATAAACTGTTTTTACGTTGTCCTTCTTTCTATATGCTCCAAGATAATTCAAATCATGCTAATGTTTATGTAATGATAATAATACTTACGAGAGTATAACTGAAGAAGATCCAAATAGAATTCCTCGTAGATGATCCAAACAGAATTGGGAATTGATATGGGAATGAATGTTTGGGTGGACTCTCGCCTTGAATTAGCCGAAAACAGCTCAGCATTGGTATATAATTAGCCGAAAACACTTGAGTATTTCAATAACCACCCAGCCGAAACAGTTATTTGAACAATTTATCAAATGTTCGACAAATTCTGTTATTTAAAAAGACTGGAGCAAGAACTCAACCTGCGAATGGCACATCCACTAGTATCACCCTCTGTTGTTTAAACAGTATGTATGCATCTCTGGGTTATTTGTTCGAGAGCATTGACTCCTGGCTCCCAACAGTTTTGCACTACGCACACATTTCCTTCCACATCATATTCTCACAGTATTTAGAAAACGACCTGTCTGGAAGATTCTTGGAAGAGTAACATTCTGTAAGAGGAACCAAGCACAAAGAGTAAGGTATTAGAAAAGAGGATTATAAAATACTTTTTTTTTTTTTGAATTTCACCCTTAAGCCCAAAGAGACTCGAACCCAGGTCTACGGCTTAGTAGGATGCTATGGTACCCATATATTATCCATAATCAAATATAAATAAGAAAATAGATATAATAAAAATCTTTGGCAACATGAATGCCGTAAAAAAAATTGCACCTAACTTAAGTGAAGAACTATAATTCGAAGCCCATTCAAACACAAGATATAATCACCACAGTGAAAAGATCAAGAACAATTGACATATCATATAAGATCTCCGTAATCATAGCAACCCGAGGATTATTTGTTCGCAAGAAAGCAACCTCAGGATTAAAAGACTTCATCTTCTAACAAAATCAAAGAATAATCTATTTTAGTTATATCGGTCCCACATAGACAAGTATATAATAATAAATTGGATTGTGAAACTTAAACTCTTTCAATGCATTGACATGACCGGTAAAAAGTATGAATGATGAACTTGTAGATGACAATTGAGGTCGAGCTAGGTAGAATATTGAAGTCTGCTTCATTTTTTGATTATTCTTTACACCCAAAAGGGCTATATGGATGGTCCTTAGGGATGGTACAACTTAAAATGTAGGCTGGTTTGATCCTGTGATGATTTTTAGTTGGACTATTTTACCCATTATAAAAAGGGAGATGCATGCAGACGTGCTTGAATCGTGCGTGTGCAGGCAGGAAAATATTTTTTTAATTCTTTTTGAAAATATATTTCTAAAAATAAACTGATGCTAGATTAAGAAAAGAAATACTTAATAACATGCTCAAAAATTTCTTTTGTTAAAAAAACTCTCAAATGAATATTGTTCTTACGTCGTGCATGTATCATGAATATGAATGACTATTTTGTTAAGATTCATTTTTTAAAAAAAATCATCGAACAAGAGAATAGAAGAAAATGGCGCTGGATCAACTTTAGAAGGATAAGAGAGCAAAATACAAAGGTAATTAGCACATAACATGTGTACCTTTCACTACTATTATGAAAAACATCATACCTTTTATTTTTTGGCATTATCACCCACAATAACATCTTTGATTGCACAAAACATCATTTCCATCAATTTTCATCCAATTTCTCAATACAAAGTTGCGAAATGACGAATATACCCTCCTATTTAAATAAAATGAAAAGAAAAGAAAAGAAAAATAAAGAACTACTTGCAACCATAGTCCCAATTTTTTTAAAAAAAGTGCAAATGAGTCCCTGATAAATTATTAAAAAATAAAAAATTCACCTTAGATTTGTCGATAATACTTCCACGAGCACCTTTTCCCTTTGCGCTGAAACTAAACATTTAAATTCCAATTTGATTGGCAGAATCCTGTTAGAATTTGATCTCCAAGTTATTGTCGATTTTGGAATCATTATTTGAGTTTAAATTAAACTCTTCTACTTGGTTATTTGGTCCTATAAATAATGGAAATATTTCATTATTTTGGACGTGACCTAAGAGAATAATTACAGAAGAAATAGAAGGCAGCTTCAGGCAACAGGAAACAGCTGCTGGGTTCTTACACGTGATTGCATGGTGTATGAAAGAAAGGTAGGCTGTTGAAAGTGCAAATAAAGACAACTGGTGGCTGCACTATTAAGAAGTCAAAAAGGACGGCTCCAAGAGGAGGAAAAGGTGACAGCGTACATCAGAGGGTCTACAGCAGAAGCTAGGGTCTATTTCTGTAATATTTTGGGATTGGGTTGGGTGAGTGAAAAATTCTATATGGTTGTAACAATTTTTCGGGCAGGCTGATGTATGTTGAAGTCTATTTTCTTGTGTAATACTTTGGAATTAGGTTGGTGAGTGAAATTCTATATGGTTGTAACAATTTTCATATAGTGAAAAAGCTTGACGGTCCATTTAAATTTGTGCGTTATTCTTTATTTTTCTTGTTTGCTAATATTCTCCTGAACAACAAAAGATCCTACAGGTTAAGTAGAAAAAGGGAATTGGTGTGAAATTTCCCAACAATATGGATGGTCCTTAGGGATGGTACAACTTAAAATGTAGGTTGGTTTGATCCTGTGATGATTTTTAGTTGGACTATTTTACCCATTATAAAAAGGGAGATGCATGCACACGTGCTTGAATCGTGCGTGTGCGGGCAGGAAAATATTTTTTTAATTCTTTTTGAAAATATATTTCTAAAAATAAACTGATGCTAGATTAAGAAAAGAAATACTTAATAACATGTTCAAAAATTTCTTTTGTTTAAAAAACTCTCAAATGAATATTGTTCTTACGTCGTGCATGTATGATGAATATGAATGACTATTTTGTTAAGATTCATTTTTTAAAAAAAATCATCGAACAAGAGAATAGAAGAAAATGGCACTGGATCAACTTTAGAAGGATAAGATAGCAAAATACAAAGGTAATTAGCACATAACATGTGTACCTTTCACTACTATTATGAAAAACATCATACCTTCTATTTTTTGGCATTATCACCCACAATAACATCTTTGATTGCACAAAACATCATTTCCATCAATTTTCATCCAATTTCTCAATACAAAGTTGCGAAATGACGAATAAACCCTCCTATTTAAATAAAATGAAAAGAAAAGAAAAGAAAAATAAAGAACTACTTGCAACCATAGTCCCAATTTTTTTTAAAAAAAGTGCAAATGAGTCCCTGATAAATTATTAAAAAATAAAAAATTCACCTTAAATTTGTCGATAATACTTCCACGAGCACCCTTTCCCTTTGCGCACTAAACATTTAAATTCCAATTTGACAGCCAAAGTTTATGTTCCTTGTGCTGGTGGTGATATTGATGTTGGACTGGGCGGCGATAGTGGTGGATAAAGTAGTAATGGAGGTTGGGGTCATGGTGGCGATTCGTATGAATCCAAGTCTTTCGTGGGATGGTTTTGGACAAACTGGGGCATTTATAAATGGGTGGACGTCGGGGGTTGCAGCAGTTCTACAATTCCCTTTAAGGTTCTTATGGAGGAATTGGTTGGTGTTAGATCTTGCATTCTTGGCGATATGGCATCACGTCCTAATTTCGGCCTCAATGAGCTTCAAAATCAAAATGTCAACGTCACTAATCGAAAAACACAGCTCTCGAATGGAATGGAGCTTAATCCATGTCTTCCATCTTGGAACCCTCATCATCATCACCTGCGTCCTCCAATGCAGTCATGTTAACATCATCCTCATAAATGCTCAAACCAAGTTTCAGCATTCAGTGAATCCATTGCCAAAGGTGTTTGTTTCCTCAAGGCTGAATCCAGAAGAAAGCAGAACAGTCTCGAACAGCAATATAACCAAGTCCTCTACAGACTCGTCATTCTTGTCAACGTCAGCCCTCTTCCAAAGCTCTTCCAACATAAACAAGACTGGGAATTCTTTTAAGGGTGGTTGCCCCTCTCTGTTAAGTCGATGATTACCCCACAAAATTGACAACAACCCTAAAGAAATTTGAAACAGCCAATGTCATCCATGGAAAATGGAAATATAATTAACTATTATTCTTGAATTCGATTGCACCATAAATCATACTACAGAGAGAAAGAGAGATTTTTTTTTTAATTATTTGTTTGGGACTCGTTTGCACTTTTAGAAAAAATGGGACTATAGTGGCAATTAGATGTTTTTTTTTCTTTGAATTTTATTTAATAGGAGGGTATATTCATCGTTTCACAATTTTTTATTGAGAAATTGGATGAAAATGGATTGAAATGATATTTTGTGCAATCAAATGTGTAATTAAGGGTGAAAATTACAAAAAATGAAATGTAGGAATGTTTTCCACACTAATAGTAGAAAGTAGGGATGTTATGTGCTAATTACCCCCAAATATAATATAACAGAAGTTGTACTAAGTAAAACCTTTAACCAGTATATAGCTCAACATTTGTATGAAATTAGCCAAAAATAGCTATTTGAAGAACTTATCACTGCTCGACAAATTCCGTTGGATAAAAAGACGAGAGCAAAAAACTCAACATACAAATGGCACATCCACCATCATCCTCTGGTGTTTCAAAGTTACGTATGCACCTCTCGGTTATTTGTTCGAGAGCATTGACTCCTGCAACTCTCAAAACAGCAACGACATTAGTATTGCGCTCTGCGGACATTTCCTTCCAGATCATATTTTCACAATATTTACAATACCAACTCTCTGGAGGAATTCTTAGAAGAGAAGCACATTCTGCAAGAGGAACCAAGCACGAAGAGTAAGGCAATGGAGAAGAGGATTTATAAGAACCTTTTTTTTTATTGGAATTTCTCCCTTACCCCCAAGGAGACTGAAACCCAGGTCTATAGCCTAGTAGGATGCTGTTACCCATATATTGTCCATAATCAAATAAAAATAAGAAAATAGGTCCAATAAAAAATTGCGGCAACATGAATGCCGTAAAAAAATATTGCACCTAACTCGAGTGAAAAACAATATTTCAAAGCACATTCGAACACCAAGATTAACACAAGAAATAAGGTGAAACAAACAAAATAATATCTTAGTTTAATTCTCGATTTCCTAACTAGTAAATAAATGATCCTAATAATTGAAATTGAAATTTTAATTTATGTTTGATAATGTAAGTGATTGCTACAAAGATGTTATGACTATGGTTTAATGGAAGTATTTTGCTTTGTAGTTAGGTGGAACTTGTGTAAACGATTGGTAATTGATGAATGTTATAAACCATATTTGTGAGATTCTTAATAATATTTGACGTGTGAAGTTTTGGAGTTGAAATTACATTCTGGCATCAAATGTTAGAATAGGCCAAAAAATTTCCATACTTCGAAATCAGGGTCAAGATATTTGAAATTTGGACAGACTACTAATGCCTTTCAGCTACTCTGACACTTTTTCTTTTTTGAATAAAATGTTGAACAATTGGCACAATTGTACCGACTAGAAGAAAATATTGGGAGCTTGGACTGACTACGGTTTCATTTATTTGTTGAATAATCGAGTTAAATGAAGGTGTTAAAGAACATAAAACTTGACCTCCTGTACAACCTTAGCCAGAACTCCCTCACCTTGGCTTATCTAAGGCTACTGACATCTCAAACAAAAAGAATTATTAGCATTCAGTTGCAGGGGTCCAGTAATCAAATGGCCCAGCACATTCATATCATGTATCTGCGTGAGTGCTTGTTACAAACATGTGATTCCTGTGTGTGAATAATAGGACAAAAGGGGCTGAAGAAGGTGGTGGTGGACTACTGGTAGTAGGATTGGGCAGGATAGGGAAGGGTATAAAGTAGAAATGAAGTCAGGCGTGGGATTTCATTATCGATTAGCCTGGCAAGGAAATTTGAACCCCTACCTAATTAAGCTCATTTGTACTTAATATAGCTCCACAAATACTAAGAAGATCAAAGAAAGTGTATTTCACTGCTCATACAGGTACCAAAAACATAAAACAAATACCAACGTTATTCATTAAGTATGATTACATTTAGTTCAAGAGATGAAAATATTATGCTTCTGAAATATTAGTAGGAGAAAATATTATGGAATTTTAATTGCCTAGATTTTTGTATGTTATGATTAATCCATCTGTTCATTGTTTAATATTGGAGGAAGTACATTTATTAGATTATTCTACTCAAGCTGTTCAGCTGTTTACTGTTTTGTAGATCGAGCTTCTTTTGTTGATTTAAGGATTCAAATAATTCGTCTTGAAGTGTCCTTTTTTTCCCTCTAGATTCCTAGTTTGACATTTATGATAATACCTTGTTTGATGTTGATTCGGCTATTTATTAAATGCCTCCATATGAATTTGTTAACAGCATATAACCAAAAAATATGCAACATCTTTTCCACGATTGATGTAATATTATGCTGATTTTCGCTACTCAAACCAAGTTTGGCAAAGCTTATTCTTTAATTTAATTTTGCAGTACTTCAATATCATGTCTAATTATTTATTTGTAATTATTAGCAATATGTCATCTGATCGTAGTTGGATGTGGCGATGAGTGGACAAGGGCTTTCTTACAAATGAATTTATTTTGGGAGTTGAAGAGTTTATTCAATTTTCATATTCACAGTCAGGAGTATTTGATAAGATTAGATGCCCTTGTCGTAAATTAATGTGGAAATAAAGAATTTCATATGAAAGATGATGTAAAACTTCACTTATTCAGCAAAGGGTTTACCCATGATTATACTCAATGGTATGCACATGGTGAACAATACATTAGTCAATTTAATTCGGGTGAATCCACGAATGCACAAGAAGGAACCGAATGTAGAAATCAAGCAATGTTGATGGATGCTACGGGCCCTAGGATCAACAATACCTTTTTGAATCAGCAACATTCTTTTCTTGAAGAACGTGAGCCGAATCCAAGAGCTGCAAATTTCGTTAGACTACTTCGAGAAGTTGATGAACCTATATGGCCCGGTTGTACAAAGCACACCAAACTTTGAGCGATGTCACAGCTTTGAATTTTAAGTCTAAATTCAATATCTCTGCAACATGTTATGATTGCATGTTGCCCACAATTATAGACATGTTACTAGAAGGTGCACAGTTAGAGGATACATTTTACAAAACAAAGAAAATGTTAAGCAGTCTTGGTTATATGAAGATACACGTGTGTGATAATGGTTGCATGTTGTACAATAAAGAAACTGAGAATTTAAAAGAGTGTTCGATTTGTGGTAAGGAACGATATAAAGAGAAACCTTCTAGATCGGGACGTAAGGTGCCATATAAGGTATTGCGATATTTACCTCTAATACCTAGACTACAAAGGTTGTATATGTCAAGGCATACTGCAGAGTAGATGATATGGCATTCGAAACATAAATATACGAGTGGAGTGATGTCACATCCACTACATGGTGAAGCATGGAAGCACTTCGACACAATTTATCCAGAATTCGCCCTTGATCATTGTAATGTGCATATAGGTTTATGTACTGATGGCTTTTGTCCTTTCAGTAGAAATTCTAAGACATACTCGTGTTGGCCAGTAATTATCACTGTGTATAATCTCCCACCTTGGATGTGTATGGAAAAAGATAACATGATTTTTACATGGTTATCCCAGGTCCTAAAAGTCCAGTCAAAATTTTTGATATTTATTTACGTCCTCTGATCGATGATTTGAAAATTTTATGGGAAGGAGTTGAAACTTACGACATATATATGAAGCAAAATTTTCAATTGAAAGCATCTTTAATGTGGACTATAATTGATTTTCCTGGATACGACATGCTATCTGGATGGAGTACTCATGGTCTAATGGCTTATCCTTATTGCATGCATCTAACTAAATCCTTTAGAGTTAAACATGGACGCAAGAGTTGTTTTCATTGAATCACCCACAAGACATGCTCTGAAACATGACATGCTACAATTTCACATGACACGCCCAACTTTTATAGCCAACAAATGTAAAGTGCGATTTAAAATAAGCACCACTTGAGTCAAGTCGATATGCTTTTACAATGTTACTTGATTCTTAGTGTCGTCTAATGCGATAGAGAGTGTGAAAACGAGGAATAGAAAATCAATCTCTTTGCTTCACGTAAAATAACAAGATAAAATTATGGCACATTTGACATGGCTTTTATTTTACTTATTGCATAATAGTTTTTAAAGCAAATTACCTTAATTTTTGTTTGAAAACTAATTTTTGAAAGAACTTCGTATTCTAAAAGTATTTTAGAGAAAGTTACGTCGGACCAATTTTCTCTAAAAACTCTTATAATTAGAAAAAAACACTTTTATTGACTTTTCAAAAGCGATGCCAAATTCAATACTTTTATGAATAAAACTGTATTTGATAATGTGTTCAACACAGTTATGGACATAAAAAGGGAAAACAAAGGATAATGTAGAAGCAATGATGGATTTGGAGATTCATTGCAACCGGCCAGAGCTTCACTTATTTTGAGATGGAAACAAAAAATTTTTTAAGCCAAAGGCCTCTTATACTTTGACGAAGGAGCAGAAAAGGAATGTATGTGATTGGGTTAAAGGATTAAGAATGCCTGATGGTTATTCTTCTAACATTGCTCGTTGTGTTAAGGGTGATGGTGAGTTTTACGGGATGAAGAGCCATGATTGTCACATCTTTATGCGAAGATTGATTCCTATAGCATTTAAAGAGCTATTGCCAAAACCAATTTGGGAAGCATTAACTGAACTTAGTCATTTTTTTAGAGATGTATGCTCTACTGAATAGAATGACTATGAATAGTGATGTGTGCATTCTCGGAAGTTGTTATAATGACTATGAGCGTGACTACTATGGCGTGTTACTTGAAGTTTGGGAAATTGAATATTTTGGACCTCAAATAGAGTTGTCTTATTTAAATGCGATTGGTTTGACAGTGAAAATGGGATACGTGTGCATCCGCGATTTAACATGTGGTGGTGGTAGAAGGTCTATCCTGAGCAATAATGAGCATCAGGATCCTAATACTCTCAATGATGAGTTGGGAGGTGAGCATTCAGATGATTTGTCTAGAGCTAGTAACAGGACAAGGGGTCCTAATCGTAACACTCCTATGCCCGCTGATCGATCACAACATATCGAAATAACTATTAAAAATAACACGCAAGTATACTTTTATTTTCAACCGATTTTATATATTTAGAAAATTAATTGTTGGTGTTTTGTAATATTTAGGCTCATTGTTCATGTTCTCGTCATATCTTATTTCGATTGTTTGACCAATCAATGTTATTTATATTGTCGTCTTCCTTTTATAAGTTGTATTTTTATTTTTTCTTTGATTTAGAATATAGCAACTTGTGGTTAAAGATGACAACATTTATTAGATTTACGTTTAAATATGTTGTGCTTCTTATATGGTTATGTAACTTATCGAAATTTTTCTAATCACGTTTTTTATATTTTTTTTTATGCAGTTTTGGTGAAACTTTCATACCACGTGACATCACCGCAACCATGAAAGCATATTTTGATGGTCCATATCCCACATTTTGCTCAATGCCACATCCCATAAGAGATGGTTTATGGGATCGATTTATGGTAATTATATTTATTATATTTGTAAATTTCTTATATATATTAGATCTATAAACTGATTTTTTTATTTATATATAAGGATAAATATGTATGGCCGACTGTGAATACTATCAATGTGTATGAAACATGGAAGGTCACAATGAATGATAGATATAAAGATATGATGAATGATGCTCACGAGAAAGTAAAGTGTACAAGTTAGTCTGATAATCCTGTTGACTAGAGAGGACATGGCCCACGTTGGATAAGGGCAGAGCATTAGGATAGTCTTGTAAATTATTTGAATACTGAGAAATGGAAAAAATGTGAAGATTGCCAAGGAAAATCGTCTTGCACAAGGATATGATGGTGAAATGAAGAAGCATACTACTGGTTCAGTCTCCTTTGTGATTACTAAGAAGAGATTGGTATTTTTTTTTTCATATTATTTCTATTTTGTATTTTAAAGTTCATGTATATTTTTATGTGATTGTGATTAATGAGTTGCATATTTCAGGAGAAGGATATGGATCATCCAATGTCGCAATTAGAGTTTTTCAGTCTTGTTCACATAAAGAATCGCGGACTTGGTGATTTTGTTCACAAAAAATCTAAGTGAGTTTATGTAAGTACAATTAAAGTTTATGTACTTTATAGTTTGTTCATATAGTTTGTAAGAATTATTTTTTTATTTTTCACATGATACTTACAAGGCTTCAATCAAGTCCAAGTATGGTACCGTTAGGGATGAACAACCTGAGTTCGATCCCGATTCATGGATTGATGCTGTCAATGGTCCATCTAAGGGTCGTGTTTATGGGTTTTGTCCTAGACAACCTGCTTGACGTGTTCTTGGTACACCTAATTCACCTAGAAGTTCAATACTCACATGTGATGAAGAGGTTAATAATTTGAAGTCAGAGTTAGCTATTGTATGAAATATAATAGATGAGAACAACGAAAAGATTGATGACCTCATTGTACGTCTTGAACGAGTTGAAAGAGATCACAAGGTTGAGATGCGAGAAACAGTGCGAAGCATGCTTAGAGAACTAAATATTCCTAATTTTCAATTTCCTTCTGGCCATCAGGATCAAGAAATGATGATGTGTAAGACAAGTTATTTGGAATTTGGAATTTTGGTGTAATAATTTATAATTTATTAAAGATTTAATGTGTTTTGACGATTTTGATTATTTAGTGTATTTTGAAATTAATGATTATTAATTAGTGGCTTGTATTTATTTTTAGTACAAATAATAAATTAAGATTCA